CCCACCAAAACCAGCCAGCCAACCAGGAAGAGAAATCAGCCTGACCGCACAGGTTTGGGAGCCCAGCTGGAGGTGGCAGCACCTGAGCAGGCTATGGCCAGGCACGAGGGGAAGGGAACGGATGAGGACAAGAGGAATCATCCCAAGACAGAGCAGGGGCACAACCTGGGGACACCCCCGAGAAGCAGGGAGGAGGGAGAGTTTAAGAAAGGCTGAACAGCATGGCTTCAACTTCAGCCCCCCCATGGCCCACCCGGTGCTGCAGGTGCCAACAAGCCTCTCGGCAGCCCTGACTTGGTGCCTTTCCAAATCAGCGTCTAGACTGGAAAGCCCAGGCGAAGTGGCTGATTTCAATATGCAAATCGCAAGCAGAGGACCTGAGAATGAAGAGCAAAGCCCCGCAGGGCTTGCCACCCCCAGGCCGAAGACCCTTCCCCCCAGCTCAGCTCTGACAACCTGGAGACCCTATGGAGACGCCCCAGCCTCCATCCCATGAATTATTCTACTCGCTCGCTGCAATCAAGGGTCCGCATGGGGTCAGGAGCCCGGGCACGGAGACCGGTGGTACCAGGGGCTGGGTCACAGGCTGGGCTCTGCCCAGGGCTGCTACGTTCGATGCTTAGCACCAATGCATGCCCATTTGCTGGGGCTTTTTAAAACCCCAGGCTCAATTTACTCAGCAGCGTAGGGCAGGCAGTTCCACCCGGGGATGAACCCTTTGCTGGAGGCGGCCAGGTTGGCAAGGAGGCGCCTGCTCCAGCCTCTCTGGCTCTGCTGGGTGAGGGTGGAGAGGGTCGGGGGTGACCTCCTCAGTCTGCTTCCCACAACCTGGGAGCACTCGCACCTGGCACCAGAGCCCCCCCGCCCCGCGCTCCTCTCCCGCCCGCCGCCAGCTGGCGTGGAGGCACCACGAGGACAAGTATAGAACAAAGGAGCCGACAGAACCGGATACGCAGGGGAAGCAAACCGGAGCAGGCGAATCCAAGCGAGCGCCCGTCTCCTTCCTTCCACCCCAGCGTCCCGGCTTCCTCCCCATTGTCCACGGAGGGCTCAGGCAACCCGGGCTGGGGGCTAGGAACCTGGAGGTCCCCCTTTGCCCCGTGATCAGCACCCCGCCAAGGCCATCAGCCCTGGGGAAGTGGCATTCAAGCCTGGGTCGGCCTCTGAAGATGGACAGGATGAAGCCGATGGGCTTCTGGTGGGCCGGACCCCCGCTGCAAGTCGCAGCCACCCCAGCCACGAGGCCTGGGACAAGCCCAGGCCCGAGACAGGCCACGGACCTCAAGGCTTTGGGGCTGGGGGCACGCAGGCAAGGCTTACCGCTGGGCTTGCACATCCGGATTTGGCTCTGGCACTGGACCACGGAGTGCAGGGGCTGGGAGGCCACGGAGGTCGCCGTCGTCAGGGTCTCTGAGGTAGCTTTGGCAGCGAGCTCCGGGGAGGAGGGGGCCGAGGGGGAGCACTGGGTCTGGCAGCGCAGCTGCGTCAGGGACTGGGGCATGCCCTGGTAGTGCCGCGTGGCGCTCAGCAGGTCGTTGAGGATCTGCAGGATGGTGCCGATGTCGCGCCGCGGCCGCCCGCTGCTGTCCTGGCAGTTGGGGTGCAAAGTTCCTGCAGGAGGCAACCAACAGGTGAGGCCGATGCCAGCCCACACCGGCACCCCGCCTTTGGGAGCCCACTCCCAGCCACCCACTGGCGTTACTCTCGGGGTGCCCGAGACCACGGCAGCCATGGGCTTTTAGACCAGCCAGGCCAGAGCATCCCACCCCGGCCAGCGGGAAGGCATAGGAAGAGAGCCAGAAACCTCTGCCCCCTTCAATCACCCAGGATGCTATCACTTGGCAACACCTTCTGGTTACCATACCAACCAACAAGGGCATGGCTCTGGTCCCCACCCCCCGACCCCAATCCTCCAGCCACTCAGCCAAAGAGGAAGGGGAGATGAAAATTAGCACCCCCCACACCCACACCCCCCGATTGCTGCGGGTCTCTCGTACCAGAGAAGGTCCCTGAAAAGACCCCGGGAGCGTGGTTCACAAAGCTCTCGATGACGGCGCCGGGTTTGCGGGATCGGGGTGTCGGGGCCGGGCTGCTGCTGCCGCTGGGATTGCTGCTCCGGGCGCTGCAGTCCACCTGGCGCGGGCGAGGAGACGTCAGGAAGGGAGCCCGGGACGCCCCGCAGCCCCCGGGGGCGACAGCCCCATTCCCAGCACCCAGGGAAGAGAGGCCAGACCACGCTCCTGGCCACAGGGACCTGAACTCATGGGGGCAGCTCAAAGCCAACAGCCAGAGGGGATTTAACGGGGCATTTAGGCTGCTGTTGCTGTCGGGAGCCTCCGAGCCAAAAGAGCCCCATTGCACCCGCTCCTGGGGAGGCAGTGGGATACAGGGGGCGAGGCAGCCGCTTAGGCATCAGGGACTGGCACTGCAACCCCAGCTCAGCCGAGCCCTGCCAAGGGAGTCCCCTCCCTGCTTTGTGCCTCAGTTTTCCCACCAGTGCAATAGGGCAGCCTATGCAGGGAAAAACCCTGGCTAAAGACTGCAATTAGCCCCAAAGGCAGGGAGCAGCCTGGGCACGGCCCAGCCCCAGCCCGAGCCCCCCGCCTGGCACCCAGTGCCCCCCAGGCCAGGCTCACCTCTGAGCAGGAGGAGACCACGCTACTGTTAACCGTTTGCGTGCTGGCGCCGTGCGACCGGAACATCCCGGCGGTGACGGGGGCGGGGTGGGTAGCGTTACAGTACATGGGCGTCGCCTGCGTGGCGGGGGTGGGGCTCGGGGCGGGGCTCTGCTGGCATGCGGGCACCACGGGGATCCGGGCGAAGTTGGAGCCGGATGCCCCGTGCAGCGTCCGGCAGTGGGAGGCGGGGTTGGCCGCGGCCCCGGGCTCGCCCCGGCTGGCGATGACGTGCCGGTGCTGGAGCTGCCCTCCCGTCTGCTGGGCCGCCAGCTGCAGCTGCACGAACATCATGTGGTCGCCAACCCGCAGGGCCAGGGTCAGCGGGGACCTTCCCGACAGGAAGTCGTTGACCTGGGGAGAGGAGAGGAGACAAGACGGGGTCAGAGCTGGGGACCGGACCCCAGAGGAGGAAAATCCCACCGTCCTTCCTGCTCGCTACCGGCACCAGGGACTCGTCTCAGCAGCCGCTACCCCGCACATTGCCCTGTGCAGCACCCCACACTTGCAAACCCGCCCAGGCAGCCTGCACCCCGGGGAAGCCGGTCTAGTCTGCAAGCCTAGGAGATAAGACATCCGGCCCGGCGGAGCTGGGGACCGTGGCCAGGGAAAGCTGCCCGCCTCAGGCCTGCCCAGGTGCCAGGGCTGTCAGCTGATGGAGGGTGTTTTTGCCAAGCCAGGGGAGGTGGCCCCTGCCCCCCCTGCGATAAACCCGCCCACGGGGAGGGCAGGGCATTGCTGCCACTCCCAGGAGGAGATTAGCAGGGTGGGCGGCAGGAGGGCAAGGTCCAGCGGCCACGACGCTCCCTGCGGCCCCCACCCCGCTCACAACCTGCCCTGCCCCGGAGCCTCCCAGGGCGTCTCTCGCCCGCCCGGCCACCTCCGCCCAGCCAGCTGCAGGGGATGGGCAAACAGAGGCGCGTCCTGGGGGGGGCGAGGCGCTGCCCTCCCCACTCCCTTGGCACACAGAAGCAGCCCCCAGACACGGTGGGAAAACACCGTGGCGGGGGTCCAGCCTGGCCATGGCCTTGTCTAATGGGGCCTGAAGGATTTAGGAGCCAGGCTGGAGAGATGCCAAGGACCAGCCGACTATTCGTGAGGCTACTGGAGAGCTCCTGGGCCTCCCCGTCCTCGCTAATCCCACCCCCACCCCCAGCGCCCAGGGTGCCTCCTAGAGGCCCCAGCTGGGGGAATCCTATGGAGAAACCTTGATCTCCAGCCCCTGCCAGCTCCCGGTCACATGCCTGCCCTGGAGGTCTAGGGAGGGGGGAAGGCAGGGTCCGAGCCCTGCCGGCAGGGCAGTCTCCGGCGCCCTTCTCCAGCCAAGCCCTGCACAGCCTCGGCCCGCACCCGGGAGCCCAGCTCGCAGCCTCCAAACGCCAGCAGCTCAGGCAGGCACAGCACGGTGTGCTGGGGCAAATGTCACTGCAAGCTGCGGGCGCTGTGCGTGCATTGGGGGGGTGGAGGGGGAAACGCTTAGGTCATGTGCCACCCCTGCCAAGCCTGCTGTCACCCCCTCGCCGCCCCCCCCGTGTGCCCTGACCTTTGCAGCCGACACATGTCACACCGGGGGTGACCACAGAGCACCTCGCACGGGATGCGTCCCTGCCCCCAGACAGAGTCAGAGCCACGTGAGAACAGAGGTGCTGCCCGCAGGCCCCCGGCACCCGCACCCCTGGTGCGAGGACATGGGGAGGGGGCAGCCGTGGGGACAACGCAGCCCCCACCCGGAGCCAAGCCTCCGAGGCCTGGGGCAGCCGGGGCTTCAGGAGGTGACTGGAGGACGGGGAGGGTGCAGGCGAGGACACGCCATGCAGCACGGCACAGCAGGGCACGGCGCTGGCAGGCGGCACCTCTGCAGCGTGACTCAGGCAGCGAGCCGCAGCGGGGCCCCCCCGCCTCCTCCGGGAGGGGGAAGAGCCCCTGCCCCTGCAAGCAGCGCCTCGGATAGGGCTGCACACCCAGCCCCCCCACTCATTACTCATGCCAAAGCCCCCGACATCTGCGCTGGGGCGGGGGGGGGGACACAAAGCATCCCCCCCATCCATGGGCTGGGGCTACTTGGTATTCCAGGCACGCGGGACCCAGCTGCTTTAACCCTCACAAGCCCGCCCAGTGCCCCTTTGTCTCAGCTCGGAGAGGCAGGGACCCCGCTACCTCCGCCCTGGGCAGGCAGGGTGCCCAGTTCTGCAAGGGCCCTTTAAATTAGCACCCCCCCACCCCCTCGTGGAAAAGTGGGGGTTATGCAGCAGCCAGCTGTGGGTGGGGAACCAGGCCCAGGCAATGCTATTGAGGTTGTGGAGACCCCCCCACCTCCCCCCCCTTCACCAGCACACGTGACCCCGGTGCCGGGTGGAGCCCCCAGCACGTGCAGCACCTAGCGCAGCCAGCCCGATGCAGAGGGAGGGGCCCGGGGAACGAAGGCTTCACACCCAGCTTCTGCTTGGGCACGAGAAAGGGACAGATCCCACCCCCGGGACGGGGGGGCGGGGGG